CAGAGCTGCCGGGTATAAACCAGTCCTCAAAGTCACCATGACGCAGACATCCATACCATTCAACCTGATGAAGGTGAGATTATGCAATGTGTACGGTGGCCCTGAGAGGTCAAAGCATTGCTCCTTTACATAACACATGCAAACTAACACAACTGATCTGAAAATACATGTCCAGCACATTAAATTTAACGGTCTGCAAATAATTAGAATTTTTTTTTACTTCAGCTTTACATCACTTGTTGTGTTTTTTCGCTGAAGCAGCACTATTCTGAATAATGCCTGTGTGTTGTCTTTTTGTTCCTGTATTCTGTTATTTTTGCAGAGCTCTTTCTCTTGTTTTGTTCAGTGTTTGTGTAACTCTAGCTGCTATAGGGTAACACTAACATGGTTCAGGGCAGGGCCTAGCCTGAACTCATTTAATGACTTTCGTGTCTGGTTGTGTTTTTCCAGGTTCACCTGATGGTGGCGGTAGTGGGTCGCCTTTTCCAGAAATGGTTTCCTGCTCAGCCGAATCTTTCCTACACCTTCATCTGGGACAAAACCGACGCCTACGGCCAACGAGTGTACGGACTGTCTGAGGCAGTTGGTGAGTTTTCTTTCAATAGTGAAAACAAAAAAAACAAATTAGATTCTTTTAAATGAGCACTGTCGACCACTCTGAGTCTGTGAGAGCTCAGCTGACAATATTGGTTTTTATATTTAAACTGTAAGCTGGAAATAATTTCACTCTATTCAGCTTCCTTGTGAATTTGTTTTGAAGTCCTTGGGGAACAAAGAAGGCTTCAATTGATTCTGCTTCACAGTTTTGTGTCAAATGTAAAAAAAAAAAAGAAAAAACATAACACAAGGCTGAACACAGTTAATCTTGTTTTTCTGGGTCTATTCGACTTCAACAAATATAATTTTTCTTGGTCCTGATCGATGTTAAAAATAATGAAAGAAATCGAGATATGCTCTGTTAAAAGATTTTACAATCAATAAGTCAATTCTTAAATCCCATTGTTTAAGACTTGCTTTTATGTAATGTGGTGGTCTTTTTATTGCCTTCAGTCTTCGTTTTCATGCTTTTTATTTGATTTACCCCTTTCCTGTCCTCCTCCTTCATCATCCTCCTGTCTTCTCTCTGCTGTCATACTTCTTGTCTTCTTCCTTTTATGCTTTACTGACTGGACCTTCATATTGTCTTGCTGTGTTTGGCCCTGTTTGGGTTTCTGTTGTTGTGTAGGACTCTCCTTTTGTCCATCTGTCAAAACTGTTCTTAAAGGTCTAATATGTAAGATATCAACTGAATATGATCAAAAATGACCTTACTATATCATTAGACATTAAGGAAACATGCTATGTTGAAGTGCTGGCTTCTCTTACAACAATGCAGCAGCCAGTATGTCCTCCTTCTAAGTTGTGTGGAATGGTCTGTTTTTGTTTTGACCAGAGAAGGTAGACTGATTTAAGGCACCTCCACACCGCCGTTTTGCCCCTCGGTTTGCCTTGCAAAGATCAAAACAACAGGTTTGAAAGCGGTAGACAACTGGTTCAGATAGATCTGATTCTACCCGATCTAAAAAGCCTCTGCATGTTTCTAATAAGCTCCACGAGCAGAAACATTGTTAAAATATTGGAGATGCTTTTGAAAAATGCAAAGAGGTTAGAACGCAGAAAGGTTTACAGATCGATGCAGAGCTGGCTAAACACTGAAGCTTCATTGTCTGCAACATGGCAACCTGCGTGCACATCGATTCTGGGGAGGAGGGGCGGCTGGAAATTGTTCTTTCCAATTGAAATTTGGAATGCAGTCCCATTTGAAACACTAGGTGTCAGAGTTACACATTGCTCCTTTAATTTGTTTTTATAATGAATGTTTTCACAGTTATTTTTAGTATCAGGAGAACTTGCTGCTGTGGCGTTGTGTTTCCATCATCCCTGTAACTTTGTCCCTTGTTGTAACACAGAGTTGACAGTAAGAAGACACTTTGGAAATAATCAAATATAACTGTGTGACAAAGTCAAAGTAAAAAGAATGCATTTTAAATGAACTGCACTGACTCAGTTTTACGACACGTAGTGCACAGTTATTGAGGAGAAAAAAGCCTCTCTTCTGCAGAGCACATACATAAGTTTGCAGACAGCTGCGGCTGAGTTCAAATATGTTCAACATGAAAAGCTGTGACAGGAAATAGCCTGAACATTATGGGCATGCTAACCTCTCTGACACCTTTATTAGAGACAAGTCGAGCAGACACACTCCTGCTGAGTTATTACTTATGGTAGCCGGGCCCTAATGGGCTGCACATAAAGAAGATTTATGGCTGTGTTTGTAACACTTCTGAAATTGGTGCTCATAAGTTCGGATAAAGGAGCGTAACCACCAGGAATATTTAGAGCACACGTGTGGCGACTTATGAGATTTAGAGCTGAGACACAAATGTGGAGGCCCCCCTCTGAGAATTTCCACTGATTTTGTCTTCATTTGTGTACTTCTAACATGTAAAGGAATATAGGAAACTGTTCTCTTCTCTTCTCAGTTTCAATAAGGCAACAAACTAAGATAAATCATAAAATGAGAGAAGCTGTGTGAATTCAGGGACACTCACACCCAGATGAATGTGGTTACATTTAGTTTATTGGTTTGGGGCGTTTGTAGAATAATCCAGTTTTATGAACCCATTTGAAGAAAGACCTCCTGATGGGGCTGTTTTTAACACGTTCCTGTTTTTAATGAATGCGTTAAAACAACTGTAATAAAAAACGTATTTTAATCTTAATGCAGCTAAAAACTAACCTAACATTGTTCATTCATTTCTAGGGTCATTAATTCGCTAATTGAGATTAAGAATTGGCGATAACTTGTGAGATGGCAGGAGCAGCAGGACGAGCAGGACTGTTGTTTCTGGAATCCTGTTTTAAATGATCAGTTAATTAATATACACATGAAAACTACAACTGCTTGACTAAGGTTGTCAATACTTCCGTTCTTTACTATACTGCGTGTTTTAAAACGATGCAATCTCCATTATTTTATTCGATTGAAGCTTCAAGTAAACTTCTGATCTTCAGTCACATTCTGAACCAATAGCTGCTGCGAGTCGGGCTGTGGTGGACTAGTAGTTAGTGCATGTCCCCATGTACAGAGGCTGTAGTCCTCTAAGCAGGCGGCCCAAATTTGAATCCGACCTGTGGCTCCTTTCCTGCATGACGTTCCTCAAAGTCCATCCTCTCCGTCTTTTGCCTGTATCACTTTTCAGAAAATGTGTGCTCAAACAGGCTGTTTAGCGATGTTCCCTTCATGACTTCACAAAGGGCAGTAACCCCTCCCCCAGGTGGGTGAGTCTGCCTTCTCAGTGTAAACAATATGGCATGGTTCCAGAAAGCTCGAACCACCCAAGCCCTCCTAGAGGGCGTTGTTGAACAGCCCTCAGTTGCATTTAAAGCTACAGACACAGAAACAGCCTGTTCTGAGCAGGACTGAAATAGAGGGGTTTATAGCATGATCAAATACAGGGTCAGAGTGGATTTAGAACAAGAAACTTCACAGACATGTTTTGGGGAGCTCTGAGACTTATTTAAACTTGGTGAAAAGGAGGATAATATGTGACCTTTAAAGAGATATAAAGCAATTGAAAGTCCTAGAAATTACATCACAACAAGCTGAAATACTGAAGTTTGCACATGGTGCACTCATCACAAGCATCTCTCAGCAATGCTTCAATGTACTTACAGTATACCATTTAAATTATGTTAGAATTTAAAATGCAACTTGGAGGATGGAGGCCTGACAAGAAAAGAAGTATTGTGAGAGCACTGGCTGTTTTCCATCAGTAATCTGTGTAATGCAGAGTGTGGAGTCTAAACGAGCGGCCGCTCAGGGCTCGGACAGAGATTAAAACACATACAGCAGACAGATGATCTATCTGCAGTCTGCAGTCCAAACACGGCTCGCATGACGTCAGGTTAACTCAAACAAACCTCAGCGATTACAGTGACGCGTTCACTGACTCTGACAAATAATCAGCTGTCAGAGTGTCGCTGCAGCCCGAGTGAGGAGACCGCCAGAGACTAACAGACAGAAATAAAAGGAGGATAATGTGTTTATTGAAAAGATATCAGCAGAGATCAGCTGGGAGTTTTATTGTTTTAGCTTTAACACAAAGATTTATTCACTTTGAGGCAAATCCAACCTTCAAAGCAGCTGAAACTCATATTTTATGAAGAAATTGCAGCTCTACGGAGCTTTTTAAAGACTTTAAGCTCAGTGTTTAAGAGTTAAAGAAATGACGGCTGTTAGCCAGATGCTCAGACATTCAAACGTTCTCAGTTGACTACTCTCTTTCTGATCCAGGTCATGTCACTTTTACTTTTGAGAACTTGGTCTTTTTTTTTTTAAATATGAAACTAATTGAGTCTTTGTTTTTACAAGTTTCATTCACTCTGCAGTGGTTTATGTTAAATAAAATATCCCACTGGCTCTTTCTGGGCTCCATCATTGTAACCACAGGATAACTTCTGATTCCAGAACAAAACTGACCTATCGATTCGACACTAAACTTTCTTTTCTGCATATGTCAGCATTGATCTGCAGATTTGGCAAACGACTACTTTTTTTTTGCTGCATTGTGTTCCAACTCCAGCGACCCCTCCAGTGTAACGGCAACTTTGTCATCGTTCTGTGTCCATTCTCTCTTTTACTCTCCCTCATCTTGCCAGTGATTTTGTCTTCTTTAAATGGAGATTTTTGCTTTGTTTTTTTTGCTTGGGATCTTGAGTTTTAAGGACGATTTTAGTTTATGAGAGAGATCCAGAGCTACAATCTGTGTCGAGTGTCCGATCCGAGTGTAGTGAACTTTCTTGAACAATTCATTTTCACTACAACACAGGCCTTTTTAAATATCTGTTTTTCCAAGGCAGACTTCCCAGAACTCCAGACTCTCCTATTTCTGAGAGTGTGGCATGATGGGATTGTTGTTTTTTTGTCCTTTCAGTCAGGAACAGACATAACCTACCCT